TAGAGACAGGGTTTCACCATGTTGGCCAGATGGTCTCAATCTCTTGACCTCGTGATCCACCCGCCTTGGCCTCCCAAAGTGCTGGGATTACAGGCGTGAGCCACCGCGCCCAGCAGGTGATAAATGTTATAAGGACCAAGAATGGGGTTCCATGAGGGATCATTGTTGTAGGGAAAACCGGTTCTTGTCACATGACCAGGAAAGATTAGGCTCGTAGATACTTTGAAGGGTGAGGGGGAAGGGAATTTATTGGGCAAAAAGGAAAAAAAAACTCAGCAAAGTGAGAGGGGTTTCTGTTAACAGGCCCCCATCTCACAGATTGAATCTCAAGTTACCACACAGAAACAGGAGAGGCCAAGTTTCTTCCCCTTACAAATGGGGTGAACTTCCTGAGGCCCCACCTCATCCTCCTAGTGCGCAGGTGGGCATTATTCAGAAATAATCAGTTGGACAGGGAGGGGAACAACACATACCAGGGCCTGTTGGGAGGTCGAGGATGAGGGGAGGGAACTTAGAGGACAGGTCAGTTGGTGCAGCAAACCACCATGGCACACATATACCCTGTGTAACAAACCTGCATGTTCTGCGCATGCATCCTGAACTTAAAAAAGAGAAATCAATTGGGAAAGGGCAGGCTTCATCTGGGATGGGCAGTTCGGTTTTTTGGCCTTCAGGCTGTCTTAAACTTGAAGACGGGGTAACTGCTTCCTGTCTCTATCTGTCCCCTTATAAGGGGAGCCATCACCTTTTCTGGGGGGTTCATAGAATACTTCCCTTTGAAAGTGGTATTTGAGCAAAGAGATCAAATGAAGAATAATGAACTTAACCTCTTGAAGTTCTGTACTACTTACTCTATAGCACTTATCTTTTATCTGACAAATTAATCACTTGGTATCTCCTGTGCTGAGTTATTAAAATAATTTATTATTATTTAAATTTTCTTAGCATTGTTTACTGTTGACTAACTTATAAGCTTCATAATGTTAGAGATTAAATCTGAGACTCAATTACAGTATAGACTCATACAGTAGATAAATATATTGGTTTGATTATTTGTTTACTAATTTTTATATATAATGACCATAAAATGCCATTAAATATTGTAGGTGTATATTAAATGTGCCAGACAGTGTGCTGTGAGAAATTTCATTTGCTCTTAGCATTAGTAGACAGATAGAATGTGCAACCTATCAAAAATGTTTGTGCAAATGAAAATGATTTTGACCTGTAATGTGCATATGAAAATGATTTTGACCTGTAAATAATTAGACAACAAAGATAGATATTTAAAAAAACAAAAACAAAAACCATTCATAGATTATGGGCTGGCTGCAGTGGCTCATGCCTGTAATCCCAGCACTTCGTAAGGCTGAGATGAGCGGATCACTTGAGGTCAGGAATTTGAGACCAGCCTGGCTGATGTGAAACCCCATCTCTACTAAAAATACAAAAATTAGCCAGGCATGGTGGCACACACCTGTAGTTCCAGCCACTTGGGAGGCTGAGGCAGGAGAATCGCTTGAACTCAGAAGTCAGGAGGGGTAGGTTGCAGTGAGCTGAGATCAAGCCACTGCACTCCAGCCTGAGTGAAAGAGTGAGACTCCGTCTCCAAAATAACCATACACAGATTACATAGCCTATTTGCCTACCTAAACTTAAATAACATAGTAGGAGCCAGTCAGTCTATAGATGTTAACCAAATTAATAATCATGGGGAAATACTTTTTTTTTTTTTTGAGAGGAGCTTTGCTCTTGTTGCCTAGGCTGGAGTGCAGTGGTGCAATCTTAGCTCACTGCAACCTCCACCTCCTGGGTTCAGGCAATTTTCTCACCTCAGCCTCCTGAGTAGCTGAGACTACAGGTGCACGCTGCTACGCCTGGCTAATTTTTGTGTATTTTTTACTAGAGACAAGGTTTCACCATGTTGGCCAGGCTCGTTTCAAACTCCTGACTTCAGGTCATCCACCTGCTTTGGCCGCCCAAAGTGCTGGAATTACAGGCATGAGCCACCAAACCTGGCCAGGAAATACTTGAATAAGTCAGTTAAATTCCCTACGCTTGTTTTCTTATTTGTAAAATGAGAGAACTATCACTGACACTTTTATGTACCTCAGAGAAGAAGAAACACTACTTTAGTAAGTGAAAGAAAGTTCACCATTTTTTATATTTGACTTAAAGTTTATAAAGGCAGGCTATTACATTTCTGACTTTCTCTCTTTTTCATGTTTTCCTTGCTCAGACTTTTTGGGGAATTTGTAATTTGACCTCTCTTCCCTATATTATATCAATAAGAAGCCAAGCAGAATTTTCTTTTTTTTCCTTTTTTGAGACAAAGTCTCGTGCTTGTCTTCCAGGCTGAAGTGCAATGGCGCGATCTCAGCTCTTTGCAACCCCCACCTCCCGGGTTCAAGCAATTCTCCTGCCTTAGCCTCCCAAGTAGCTGGGATTATAGATGCCTGCCACCACACCTAGCTAATTTTTGTATTTTTAGTAGAGATGGGGTTTCACCATGTTGGCCAGGCTGGTCTCAAACTCCTGATCTCAGGTGATCTGCCCGCCTCGGCCTCCCAAAGTGCTAGGATTACAGAGGTGAGACACTGTGCCCAGCCCCAAGCAGAATTTTCAGTTGGAAAGAAAAATTTGAGACATTAAGTAAATAGATAGATGTGGAGATCATGATAATGAATGGAAAAAGGAGATAATAGGTAGCATTTATTTAGCACCTATTATGTGCCCTTGCCATCTGTTAAATCGTTGACACACCTAGTGTATATGCCCAGAGAATGCTTTTGGATCGATTAACGTTAAAGAAAGTTTAGAAATGGTACTTGAAAAGAAGAGGGTTAAAAGAATAACCAGGTCAGGGCCAAGTGCAGTGGCTTCTGCCTATAATCCCAGCACTCTGGGAGGCTGAGGTGGGCAGATCACTTGAGGTCAGAGACCAGCCTGAATAACATGGTGAAACCCTGTCTCTACTAAAAATACAAAATTAGCTAGGCCTGGTGGTGCATGCCTGTAATCCCAGCTACTTGGGAGGCTGAAGCAGAATTGCTTGAACTTGGGAGGCAGAGGTTGCAGTGAGCTTAGATCAAGCCATTGCACTCCAGCCTGAGTGGCAAGAGTGAGACTTCATCTCAAAAAAATAAAAAAAAAAAAGAATGACCAGGTCAGAGTCATCATTAGCATTTTGGAACTAATATCTCTTACTCCTGTACTTAAACTTTCGTGTCATTTCCCATTTGAAAAATATTATGTAAGCTTTGTTTTTTAATAGAAACATAATTTTATACCAAACAGTGATTCCTTTCCTAGCATCTGAAATGTGTCTTTTGAAGCATGAAATGATCACCAAGTCTTCCTTTTATGTTGAGTTATATTTTGTTGATTGTCAGTTTACAGGTTTCTAGAATTCATTAGCTTAAAGATCTTACAATATATCCAGTGGATGCCAAGTTTTATAGTTTACTATTATCTGAAAATATTTATAAGAGATTTTATCCTTGTGTATATACTTAAGATTTATGAATTATATTTTAATTATTCAAATTGTAATACACATTTACTTTTTAGGTTTAAACAAGTCTCTTAAGTGGTGTTTCCTCACCGATGGAGAATTACTTCCAAGCAGAAGCTTACAACCTGGACAAGGTGTTAGATGAATTTGAACAAAACGAAGGTGAGAATTTATATCAGTGAATCTTTGCATTTGTGGTATAGAGAATGTGGGGCTATAAGAGGATGCAGTACTTAAAAAATAAAATCAGGTCTGATGACTTAATGATAATATTATTATTTAATAATATACAGAGGAAGAAATAATATTTTTAGCACCAAATAAGGAATATTTAGATACAATCCCACAGACCTTCTCATTGCGATTTTATAGGCACAGAGACGTTAAGCACTTTTCTCAAAGCAATCTTGCGAACAAGTGGCAGGATTAGAATCCAGGCAGTGTAACACTAGAGCCTGAGCTTTACCTATCCTTTACAATGAATGTGTGGTCACGAAATGTGCTTGCATTTCCCAAACTAAGAAAAATAGCTCATTTCATATTGATTGCCCAATAAAGATATATTTAAAACTATTTACATCACAACTGCTTAAATGGTTAATTATACTTTCTCAAGCTTCAGTAGAAATGCCCACTTAAGATTCACTTCTTTTGTTTGTTTGTTTTTTGAGACGAAGTCTTGCTCTGTCTCCCAAGCTGGAGTGCAGTGATGCCATCTTGGCTCACTGCAACCTCCGCCTCCCTGGCTTGAGATTCTTGTGCCTCAGCTTCCAGAGTAGCTGGGATTACAGGCACCTGCCATCACACCTGGCTAATTTTTGTATTTTTAGTAGAGAAGGGGTTTCACCATGTTAGCCAGGCTGGTCTTAAACTCCGGGTGTCAAGCAGTCCTCCCTCCTCAGCTTCCCAAAGTCCTGGGATTATAGGCATGAGCCACCACGCCTGGACAAGATTCACTTCTATTTAGGGAAGACTTTTCTCTAGATTTCCCTCTTGGTTTCACTTGAATGAGTAAGCCATAATTAAATTTCTTTCTCTTTACCCTACTCCTCCTATGTTCTCTTTACCCTACTTCCT